CATCAAAAATCAACAACCATATTCATTGTCTCAGATGCTAAAAACCTGTTGTTTTTTCTCTCTTATTTCTCCTTTACCTTCTGAAATGGTACGTAGTTTCTCAGATGATAGACCTTTTGAGGAAAATTCGCTTTGTATCTCCATAGCAACAAAACATCTTGGAAAAGAATTTAATTATGATCAAGATGAAGTCAGTTCTGATAGTAAAAATAAGGGACTCTTTCTCAATACATTTCATACACTTAGAAGCAAATAAATATCGTGCTCTAAGCCAAATACTAATTGAAATTAAATGAATGCTTTGCAGCTACTATAAAGATGTTCATCAATTCAACTTCTATAACAGAAAAAACTATATAACAAGGAATTATGATTAAGGCAGTCATAACCTCCAATAGCTTTTAATTTATTTAGCTTTTGTTCTGTAACCAGATTATTCACAACTAATTCGTTTCAAGAGGATGTATGAATGAGAATAAAGGGTATGAGGATATATAAATTTTTAGCATAAGTTTAAGATTTCTGCTTTATGATCCAGCATTGTTTCAATGAAGACCTAAATGAGTGACAGATTTTCAGCTTTGTATGTAATTTTAGAACTGAAGATGACATGTTTTACACATTCCATTTTGAGTGTAGTTATGTCTCTCATAATGATAAATGGTAGTACTGAAATTTCTTAAACCTAAATATTTATCAAGTAATGACTGAAAATAATGGAACGGTTACACAAGTATCGATTTTGTGCATAAATGTAGTGCACACAGTTTTGAATAACAGTTATATTATATATTATTTGTCATGTTTAAGGGAATACTAAAATACAGTACTCTTTAACCATAAAAATTCGTATCAGTCACTCTTGTCACCTTGTACTGTACTTTAAATTCTGTAACACCCTGAGGAATATAGTACATTGATCATCTCTGCTGTTCATACAGACTTAATACTGCACAGCAACAGCCTTATATAAATTAAGTGAATAAAACACAATTTTTAAATTTTCTTTGTTTCATTCATTGTCCCTTCAGTCAACCACCACATATACAAAGTACTTTTCTACGTTAAGAAATTGAAACTCTTTAAGTTATAAAATACAAATCCAAGTATTAGCTATGACAACTCTCCCTGTAAAGTGATAGGCTATGAACTGGGCAGGTGGCAGTCCCAGTAGGGATAATGAAATTTCTTTGTTTGCCACTGTATTTAGAAAAATTGTGGGTTTGCACAGAGCTGGTTCTGTAAGTGCTCATATAAAGCTGAAGATTGACTTCCATATAATCCATAGTCTAAGCATGCAAGACACTTTACCTTGATGATCTCTCTGCACTTTCCTGGCATGGCACTAAGCAAAGAGATCATTTTCCCCTACTCACTCACACATGGAGCTGAGCCCTTCTTGAGAAGCTGCCAATTGTGCAGCTACTCAAGAACTTCACAGCATTTTATGGAACCTGAAGGTTCGTTACTGTGTTCAAAAGAGCCCTCCAGCCATCCCTATCCTGAGCCAGATCAATCCAAACCATACCATACCATACTGTCTCTCTAAGATCCATTTTTATATTGTCCACCCACCTATGCCTTGGTCTTCCCAGTGGTCTCTTTCCTTCTGATTTTCCCACCAAAATCCTATATGCATTCCTCTTCTTCCCCATTCGAGCTACATGCCTTGCCCACCTCATCCTCCTTGACTTGATCATTCTAATTATATTTGGAGAAGAGTAAAACTTATGAAGCTCCTCATTATGCATTTTTCTCCATCCTCCTGTCACTTCATCTTTCTTCAATCCAAATATTCTCAACACCCTGTTCTCAAACACCCTCAGTCTATGTTTCTCCCTTAATGTCACAGACCACGTTTCACACCCATACAGAACCACAGGCCCAATTATAGTTCTGTATATTCTATTTTTATGCATTTAGACAGCAGACGAGAAGATATAAGGCTCTGGACTCAATGGTAGCAAGCATTACCTGAGTTCAATCTCCTCTTAATTTCCTCCTGAATCAGGTTTTTATTTCTTATAGTCGTTCCCAAATATCTGAACTGCGCCACATTTTTAAAACATTTGTTACCTATCTTTATGTCCTGATATTGCCACGCATTTTGGTGACAAGATACCAACATATTCTTAGTTTTCTCTGTGTTTACTTCCAGACCAATCTCCTTACGAGTGTCAATTAAATTTTGTGTAGAAGGGCTCACCTCCATAAGTAAGTAAGTGATTCTCTTTATGGTATCTCTATTATCACCCAGTAGATTCACATCATCAGCATAGACCAACAGCTGATGTGTTCCATTTAATCATTTTGCCCTACACTTATCTTAAATCCTTCTAAACAAACATCTACGAGTATCTTCACAGGTTCCTTTTGAAAATGTTTTATCTTCGGCAGGTCACTGGATCAAATTCGGTAACATGTTACCCAGAATTAAGTCCCATATCTTTTCTTTTCATCCCTCAAAACAAATTTGAAATTAGTATCCTATGCAAAAAGAAAAGGGTCATAAAAATACCTTTCTAATTTAAGGGTAAACAATCTCTCTCATAAAGACAATGTTCTCTAAATTGCGGTGTGATTCCCTTACTTGCTGGCCTAGGTAACATACTTGACATTCATGCCAACTAGACTCTGCCATCTCTCATGCAATCAAAGAGGAAATTAAGCTGATCTCTCAACTGGATGGCCTCATCCAGTGATTACAGACCTCTACAAGAATGGGCAAATGTGCTATTGGGGTGGCATTAGAAAAGGTGCGTTTGTTTATTCATGACATATGTCTGCTCTTAAGTACTTATGTAAGTCATTGTAAATTGATCGAACATAAGCCACGTGGTAAGGAAATGGCAGGACATCTAACAACAATTCCAGTTGTGCACACTTAACAGGTATTGCTATTACATTAATTATATTCTTGAAATTGGTGAGTTTTATACAAATATTGCACAAGAGATAGCATATGGAACTCTGTAACTTCTATTCCAGGCCTTCTCCCCCCTTCTAAGGTTAGCACAATACATGTCCAAATATTTACATTCAGGCCCTTAAGTGACATGGTTCTTAGGCCGTGCCATAGCTCAAGCAGTTAGTTGCTGGCTTCCCACCACGGCGGCCCAGGTTCGATCCTGGATCTGATCAAGTGGGATTTGTGGTGGACAAAGTGGCGCTGGGGCGGGTTTTCTCCGAGTACTTCGGTTTCCCCTGCCAATCTTCATTCCACCAAATTCTCCATCATCATAATCACCCGGGACAGGCTACAATAGGCCAATCAATGGCCGCCGTGCCGAGTGGACCCAGTTGTACTCCACCCCCACTATGCGAATTAAAAAAAACGTGGTTCTTAATCCAAATTAGAGTGAATTAAATTTAGACATTGCAATACTCATAACTTGTAATATAATCTAAACCAAACTCTCAAGGAACTGAAACAGTTCGAGTAAGTGTGAAATTTAATTTAGACCCTTGAGTAAAATATTCTTTAAAGTGAATTAGAACAAATCAAACTTACACACAGTAACATATACCATGTCATATATTAAGATTCACCAAAATCTGTCAAAAGAGTAAAGTAGTATAGATGAAAATTCAATTTGACCTATACATAAAGTGGCCCATCAAATGGATTGAGGTTAAAGAAACATGTCTAATACTTGTGTGACAGATGTGCTGTGTATTGGAATTTATCAAAGTCTGCAAAAATACTCAGAAGATATGTGTAACATTCCATTTGTGCCCCGAGGAACGTGGCCTTAGAACTACCCCAAAGTCCTGAACTAAACCAAAACCAAAATGGTTTAACAAAATTTAGTATTCTACTATACCTAGTTTGTTCATAATGTAACCTGTAGTTTGGGCTCTCTTACATGCAGGCATATGACTGGTTGGGTAGAGGGAAGGGTGGACAAGAAGCCAAGTTAATAAGTTATTACACAATTCTTTCTCAAAACGTGCCTAAATATGATCTTATGCTTCTAGCAAAGAGCAAAATATCTGATATGAACATGTCTTACAGGACTCCACAGAATTTAGTGACGCTTACACACAGGTTTAGCTATCAATGTTGAAGCTGCATCAAAGGAGTGAAAGGTCAGTGCATGAATAAGAAACAGCTTCTGCCTCTAGTACTGTCTAACATTCTGGAAAGTTATTTCTTGTGTGCTGCTAGATCATTTTATTTACTTGGTATGGACAGACTGAATGCACTGAGGCTAAAGGACAAAGGAGATCTTTAATAGATTTAAAATCTTGTACAGTAGTTGCATTCCTGCGATTACAACCCTGCACATCCATTTTGAAAATATACATAGCTTCATACTAAGTCGAATTTACGAGTAAACTGTCTGAGGCATATCCTAAAAACAAATGATAAATTCTTATGATACAGTATGGGAAATTCTGCTTCATTACATTGGGCAAGGTTTGTTCAGTCCTCTTAATTAACTGGAATTAGAATTATATTTGAATTATATCTTTTGAGCCTTAAACTTCATCTGATGATTATTAGAAACAATTCAAGTTACATCAATGCTATTAGCATAAAGTATGATTCCACATCTTCTCAAAAGTATTACCTCATGCAGAACTATTCAAGTGATATATCATAACCCACACCAAAACATTAACTTGTGTTATATCTTCTTCTCCTGCCCTGCTTCTTCTTCTTGTAACATTGTTTCTGTCTTACACAAGTAAATTGATGAAATATCTCCAATTGCCTCTATCTTCCCATAACTTCTCCTCCCCCATTTCTTGCCAGCTCTTTCCTTCCTTCCAGAATCTACCTGAACTAGCTTGTTTCAGGTCATCTCATAGGTCTTCAGGGACATACACTACTGAAAACATACTAAGGTCACATCAGTGGTAACACCAACTCAATGATATTTCAGTCATCAACAAGACACTTCCATAACCCTTTTGTGAAATGATATGTTCATAATGAATTCATTTCATAATTTTATATTCTTGTTTCATATGACTGGTCCCTGCTTATATTGCAGAAAGTTTGGTGTGAAGTGTTCACGATGTGGGGACCGGCTGCTGCCACGCGCAGAGGTGATGAGGGTCCAGTCACATGTGTTTCACCTGCAATGCTTTGTTTGTGTGGTGTGCTGTCAACCCTTAGTGAAAGGTGCAGAGTTTGTTCTTCGAGGTGGACAACTCTTCTGTAAACAGGAATTTGAGAAGGAGTTGTATATGATGCAACAGGCCAGCCCATCAGGTACCATCATGACCAAATATTTCATTTTCTTAATTTCTGCACTGTCAAGTAGGTCTGTTACCATATCTCTGCCTTAGATGTGTTCTTAGTGAAATTTTTTCTCTTGAAATTGCAGTCTGTCATTACTTAAATCTTAGCTTGTGTTCACTGTTAATGACTTCATAATACTCAAAATACTTGAAATTTAAATATAAAAGTTTTATAAACTAAACCAATATTATGGTATATAAAAACAACTGAAATTTCAATAATCATCAACATACTCTCAAATACATTTAAGTTTCATACATGTCTAAAAATGTTTCTTATTACACAGCTGATGACTTAATAGATGAGAACAGTAGACCAAGAGATGGAAGACGAGGACCAAAAAGGCCTAGAACAATCCTCACTTCAACCCAAAGAAGACAGTTTAAAGCTTCATTTGAAATTAGTCCCAAACCATGCAGAAAGGTAACAAAAATCACATCTTACATATTTATTCATAATATTTAAATTCATAAAGTGTAACAATTTACTTGTGTTAAGAACTGCATTGTGATGCTATGACATCATTATTGATGCAGTAAGTGTTAAGGCTACATTTTCATGCTAGAATGGTAATGCCTAAATTGATGATAGCCAAATTAACACACTATTTTTAGGGCATTATTCATTTCAGTAGCAAAAGTACAACGTAGAAGTGTTAGTTAAATGAAAATAGGCGANTAAGTGTTAAGGCTACATTTTCATGCTAGAATGGTAATGCCTAAATCGATGATAGCCAAATTAACACACTATTTTTAGGGCATTAATTACAAGCCACGAAAAGTGGTATATATGGTAAGGAATATTTTCAAATATTGCTAAGACATACTATATTCTATTTCATCAGCATGCCATTGAAATTCCAGTTTTGCAAATATATGAAATGTGAACCTATGTAAACAATTTACTGTTGTTACTTATAGCTCTAAGCTGTTGTGATTATTTCTGCAGCATGAAAATGGAAGAAAGGCAAGCTAGTTTAGACGAAAACTTTCATATTTTGTATCGGTCATCATGTGGAAGAAATGTCAGTTCATTTTCATTTGCTTGACACTTGGTATGTGTGTATATATTTAAGCACATGCATGCAAGTGTCAGTTACGTGTGTATCAACTAAATACTTTTCTATACTTATGCCATAGTTTTTAATCATTTGAGGGTAAAGAGAAAAGTATATCTACGAACATTTCCTCACATATTCTGATTAATTTATCATTATCCTCGTTGTATTATAGGCACATTAAAATAAACAATCCATTTCCTCTAATTTGTTAACAATTTCACAGGTGAGAGAGGCACTGGCAAAAGAAACAGGGTTGAGTGTTCGCGTGGTGCAAGTCTGGTTTCAAAATCAACGAGCCAAAATGAAGAAACTACAGAGGAAAGCAAAACAAGAAGCAGATCAAAAGTCATCAAGTGACAAGGACAAAGACAGCAAAGATGAAAAATCCATCAAACAAGAACCTCCTTCTGGAGATCATAGTAAGTGAAAAAACTAGTGGTATTTATTTTGAGATTATTGCCTTCTAGAATGTGATGTCATGTAGTTTAGCAGACAGGTAAACCAAAGTTTCTCCAAAACATTGGTACCTATCTACTAATCACTCAGTATTACATCCCAGAAGACCATAACCTTCAAATCAGCTCTGTTGTCTTATAAGAGGATTGTAACTAGCTCCAAGATCAGAGTCCTTCTCATGAAGCTAATACTTTCTCATCTAATCATCAAATTCCTCTTATTTAAGGGAAAACACACAGAAAAACATTTGCTACTGTATATTACAAGTAGCTCCATGGGACAGAGTCCTTTATGAGAAGATAATACTTACTCAGCTAATCATCAAATTCCTCTTCTTTCATGTATTGTTTAGGTTCACTAGCGTAAACAAGAGCCTGCCATTGGTCTCTAATCTGAGTCAATTGAATACAGCCCATCCTATTTCTTTTGACTCAGCCTCTAATAGGAATGAGTACCAGGAATCTTCCTGGGGGCAGAAGGCGGCCAGCACTAAGGTTGACAACCTCACTGCCATCTGTGGGCCAATTACCCAGAAAATGTGGGAGCCTCGTTGTCTCACAGCCCTATGGTCCTCCACAGCCTGTTACAAGGATAGCTTTTATTTATTTCTTTAATATACCAAATGGTCTCTTTCCTTCAGATTTTCTGACCTGAATGCTGTACTCCATATCTCTGGTTATTATTTCCAGGTCATTATCTTGGTCTTAATGGACTCAGCATGCGAGAAGCTGGGGATACAACTTACACACCTTCCAGTAGTCAGCCACTGAATCCCAACATTCCATACTCACCTGATGGTAAGACTGATACCTGTTATCATAATCTGATAAATGCTATTTTACAAAATGTGGAACATTCCATCCAACTGTTGGCTTGTAAACACAAACTCATACACAGTTTGGGGCACTGTATACTAACCTGAATTACAATATTATATTAACATATCAGTTATTCACCTTATACTGTTCATTAATTTTTTTAGTTAATTTATATAGAGATCCTGAGATATATTCTGATTAACATATAACAGACACTGCAAGTTCGTTTTTAATAAATGGTACAATGATAGGCCATGGAAATTTAAATTGCATATCTACAAATGTATGCATTATAACCATAATAGCTCTAAAGCAAATACTGCTACATATTTATAAAAAAAATATAACTGAATAAATAATAACATTACTAGTGGCATATTATTATTCTCTTTTCAGACACGTATCCTACACATTCTGGTGAGAGCTTTTGTAGCTCAGATATTTCATTAGATGACAGCACTAACTTCGAACAGCTGGATGAAGGAGGATCAGATACTCTCTCTCTTCAGAACCTTGATATGCAGGCCCCACATCCTCCACCTCCATCAGAAGGTCTTCTGCCAAGCATTGTACAAGTCAACCCCATAGATAAATTATATCTGATGCAGAATTCGTATTTCAGTACAGAACAGTGAACTAATAGAAAGAACGAAAAGATAAAAATAAACTGTTTCTTGTCTTGGATAACAGGGTCTCAATAATGAAAAGTCTTTACACTCATGTAACTTGAAACACAATAAAAGAAAGTATACTTTGAAGTCTTATATAATAAAGAAATAATGTTACCCCATATAACTGCCAGTATTGATTTATCATAACCTGTACTAACTCAAACAGGAAATTTTACTCTGGCTTCAAGAAGTCATGGGTTTTGGTGCAGGATTGTGGAATACTGACTGATGAAAATCAACTGTAATTGTAATACAGATATAAGAATTAGAATATGAGCCATTTTTGTCACTACTGTGAAACAATCTGAAACAGCAAGAGCTTCCTGTTTAGTGAAATGTGTGGCCTATTCAAGCTCTAAAAATGAAGTTCAAGTTCAGTTCTTTATAACTTGAAGAAAATGTATTCTTTCGATTTGTATGTTATTGTAAGTGCTGTAAAGTGTTTATAACAGCATAATGCAGTGGAGCCCCCAAGGCTGACGTTGCTTGATTTAAGGTTATCCCTCATGTAACACTCACCCTCATTAATCTCAAGATTATCATTCCAGTGTTAAATGGCTTCCATTTATGACATTCCTCAATTTATTGTTCAAATCTACTGGTCTCAAAAGAAATCTGAAATAGGGGTTTCACTGAAATTCCTTTACTTAAATTTCACATTTAAAACCCACAAAATACTTCTACAGATTGACATGCTTAAGGAGGAACCCTTAAATGTTAGAACTGCAGAGTTCATCTATTTTCAAACATGTATTCCAATCTTTATACCATATACAAAATTAAAGTAACAAAGTTGCCAAGCTTATTGTCAAAAATATCTTAACAATGATGACCCAGTGCACCTTACCCTTGCCTATTGCTGTAATCAATCTGGACTGCTAGGGGTAAGATGACTGCAGAAGATGGTGGACATGGCTTAATCTGATGTACTATCCAGCATATACCTGATGGGACTAATGGAAACCTTTTCTTCTTTAAATATGTTTAAAAATTATCTTTGGTGCATGTCTGCTCTTTACACAGGGCCTACCTCCCAACTAATAATGCCAACATAATGGAAATAATATCCAAGACAAGACCGCAGTAATATCTTAAGAGTATAAGACTTTAAAACAGTTCAATGATTATTGGAATTTATTTCCATCACTTGGCTAACTGAAGACTGTGAAATTATAATCATCAAATTGATGCAAACTTATCACCATTAAAACCACAATTTGAGTGATTAATACAATAGCAGAAGTAAAATAACTGCTGCCTCTGTCAATTTGTATCCCTGTTCAATGATCAGCTTGTGAGCTTGCAGAACAATTGAGAAAGGCTACTTTCTTTGTTAACATTTTAAATGTAAAAAAAGAAGAAACAAGGGAGTTAAAATCAAACTATGAGTGAAGTTTCAGATTCCAAGAATATGTGAACATAGATTAACTATTTTGCTGCATTTTACATCTTTAGAAAGAATTTTGTGGTACTGTGCTGCTCATGAAAGATTTCAGTGTGAATACAGACATGTGAAACAAAACAAAAATTATTCTCCTTCCATGGATGATATTAAAACTTTCTTGCAGTCACAATGTTCGTCATTTTGGCAACCTATTACCACAGTTGTTGTCCTTTATCATACAGGAATAGAATATTTTAAATTCTCCAGCACACTCAGGCTGGTGGAAGAATTTTAACCTTTAATGTCCGAAGTGCCCCGTTTGTGCCAGTGATGAGTATAGTCGTCGTGGCCAAGTTATCCCGTTTTGGCCAGTCGGGCATTTAAACTCTGCTAGTGGAAGCGCGTGGACACGCCGCTAGTAGAAGCACATGCACAATCCTAAATATTTATTTTTATATGTATTAATTACCAGAGAGACTTGAGTAAAACCCTACCAGAGGAATTAAAATGATACCTATGTGAACAACAGCAAAAAAGAATATACATATGAGTTATCCCCAAACTCATCCACGAGCCAGTACTTTTATTGCAGATTCTGCAGATAATGTGTTAAAAACATACTCGTATAGTAATATTCGACGTACATACCTTTTTTGTTATNGTCAAGTGTTATCAACAAAAATGAATTTATAATGCAGAACAACTCTGTGAAGAACTGGTAAAATATTGTTGCAGTACGTATTAAAATTAAAAGAAAAAAATTGAAAAAAAAAAGAGCATAATTCTTTCCATAAAAATTTTCAAATATTCTGTTATAATATGCGACACTATATTCTTTGCTGATACAAATAAAGTTAATTCCATCAATTTATCATAAAAATTATGTTAGATACAGCATTTTTAAACACAACGCTTAAAATTGTTTAAGCGCCCTAACAGGAACAGACATTTAAACACAGAGTAACAACGGGCATTTAAACATGCACCAGCAGCAGGCATTTAAATAAACTCTGGCCAGCTCAAGCTTACTGCCATTTCAAAAGTTCGGCGTTTAAGGTTAATGTTATTGTAATGGTATTAGAACTGACAAAAATCAGTGCTTGGCATGCTGGATTACAGTAAGAAGCCATTAAAACAGTACCACACATGGATATAAAGGTTAATACTGGTCATGATATATTACGATAGAAAATATATATGTTAAGTGCAGTTCAAACAAGTACATTTGCTGAAAAAAATGCAAGTACTGATCATGAAATAATCAAGTAAGTAAAAGTAAAGGTATCCCTGTAACAGGCCATGAAGGCCCATAGGGCTGTGAGACATTGAGGTTCCCACATTTTCTAGACAATCAACTCACAGATGGCGGTGAGGTTATCAGCCTTACATGCCGGCTGCCCACTACCCCAGGAATATTCCTGGTACTCATTTCTGTTGGTGGCTGAGTTGACCTCAGGGCCATAGTGCAGTTGGAAGGATTAGGTAAATTAAAAAATCAACCTCATTGGGATTTGATCCTGCAACCTTCCAGCTTGTAGCATAGTGCCTCAACCAACTACGCTATTGTGTGCCTACATTTTGTAACCACATGCGTGTCTGAGCAAAGAAGCATCAGTATTTTCTTTGAACATTAAGTATAAAGGCATAAATTTATAAACACAGAAACACTAATGAAGTTCTCATACCTCTTTCTTATACCTTCCTGAAATATAAGACCAGAGCTTTTGCCTGGACAAATATATGGGAATGGTGTTCCAGATCCATTATCATGACACCAAGTGAAAAAAAGAAATACACATCCTAGATACTTAGAGCTACAGTCTGCAATATCACAAAATAGTGACCAGACTAGAGAAGGTATTTTATATGTTATCATGACAGCAAATCTATTGCAACACTGCAATGAGAGTTTCTGTAAATACAGAATGGATCCACCAAGAAAATCATCTATTTTTGGTTGGTACAAATGATGAGTGTATAAACAAAACAAATACCAGGAGACCTGTTAGTAAAAAATACGTTTTACCCTTTAGGGCACTGTGGTTACTATAAATAACACCTCATCACCATCATTGGCAAAACAGCCTTTCTTTAGCCATAGCTTTCCTTAGAAGATTCTGTCAGACTCATCTATTCCACTGTGAATTAGACCATCTAGTTTTCACGTCTTTGGATTTTGCAACAGTAATATTTTTAAAGAGCAAGTTCATCAGCCTTGCATACAACCCCAAACCTAGAGGACCAGGCCTCTGTATTTATTCCGTCACAGGATGGCCCAGTTATACTCCGAGGCACAGGGTTCCCTTTCCATTGTCTTCTATGACTTGCGGGACTACTGTGAAGGTAGACTGGAAAGGATTCTGACGATGGTGTATACTGTACTTTTGGCTTGTTTTGGACTTCATTCATCGTCTGGTATGTAAAAGACAAAAGACCATGACATTTCGGAGACTGGATCTGTCTCTGTCTTCAGGTGGGCAAGGAAGGATAAACCTACTCAGTTGAGCCCGTTAGAAAGAGCTAGTCTCAATCACTGGACTAATCCTGGTCTGTAGAAAACAACCTATGAACACCCGACAACCAGTTCCATCAGTGGGAGATAAGGGATCCTGAACATATGGCACAGTGCATCTATAGCATTCCCTGTGAATGTGGCAGAAGCTACATTTGTGAAACAGGCAGACCGCTGGCCGTGCGAATCCGTGAACACAGGCATAATCTCAAGCAGGGTCTTCTAGAGAAATCCAGGTTGGCTCAGCATGCGTATGAAGGTCAAAGGGTAAGCTGGGATGAAGCTAGGATCTTGGAGGTTGAAAGTAACACTAGATACAGGAAGTACAAAGAATCAGCTCATATGGCATGTTCAACCAATCCGTTCAGCCAACCCAGTTTGGATATTTCTCCCAGATGGATTACCCTCATCAATGAAGAGGTTAACAATAAAAAATGTACGTTTTTATGAATATTTGTGGCTTCCACTGCTTCTACAAGTTTTGCTCCGGGGATTAGTCTGATTCCCGGAAGTCGCCCTGGTGGCACGATTCTTTATTCACACAGATTAGGCATGCATTATCCAAGTTTTTACTTTCGTTTTTAACTGAATTCATGGAATTTAACGTATACTTCTGTTTTTTACATTGTTGACATGTGCATGCTTGGCACAAATTTTCTATCATGTCTTTTACTGTGATTTTATTCTTATCACCCACTGATGGAAGCAGTTGTCGGGTGTTCATAGGTTGTTTTCTACATACCAGGCTTTGTGCAGTGATTGAGACTAGCATTTTCTAATGGGCCCAACTGAGTAGGTTTATCTTTCCTTACCCACCTGAAAAGGAAGACAGATCCAGTCTCCGAAATGTCATGGTCTTTTTGTCTTTTCCATACCAGACGATGGATGAAGTCCTGTGAAGGTATTCCAACCTGACCCCACATGGGGCAAATAATGCTGGATTTAACATTAAAACAACATGCATTTCTACACAGATTGTGTTTAATGTGTTTAATGTGATTCTCACAGTAAACAACATGTATTTCAATAAACAGAGTAATCCAGTTAGTTTTTTTAACAGAGATGCATATGTGTCTTGTCACACAAAAACTGAACTTTAAATATTACTGAAATGAAATGTGTGTTTCAAAAGGTTAAGAAATTATGAAATAACTTCTCCTACAGAGTTCTGATGATTGTGTATTACACTCAAGATTACTGAGTTTAAGAATTTTGTCCATTACCTTTCGTAGTAAAAGAACATGTTTCAGAAGCTGGATCTGTTTCTATCTTCAGGTAAAAGGGCAGGAAGGACCCTACTCAGTTATTTCAACTATCTCAATCAATGATTTTAAGGAGAACATTTTATGGACATCCTGTATATGACAATACATAGAAAACTTATCGATTTACAAGTTTTTTAAGGATCTTCCTCACACTAAAGAATGCTGAAAAATATTAGTTCTTTACTTTAAGGGGTACACTACCACACTTGACAATGCTGAAGTGGTCATGTCCTAATCTAGGTACTACCTCGGCATATTGGTGGAGGGACTGCAAAATATCATCAAAAATCCAGTCAAGACAGTGAGTTCCTGGCTGGAATTTGAACCAGCACCTCAGGAACAATGTCCCTACTTCACACGCAATGCTGCACAACATCTGCGGTTGATACAAGGGATATCAAATTTTAGGCACACTATTTATTCATAGAGGGTAAAAATTCCTGCACCTACATTGGGGTTGGAAACAATAAGCCAGTACAAATAAATATAATATAATGTATAAACAAAATAAGTTGCTATTATGGTCTTCCAGGATGTGACATCATGTACTCTGGTTGATAGGTACCGACATTTTGGTGGAACCTATTACCTCATTCTTCAGGGTAGAAGAGATCACCTTTTTATTCTGAAGATGCAGGCAGCAGGACTCCAGAATGTCGGTACCTGCTCAAATAGATGACATGGTGTCTGTATCTCTAACCCCTGCAAAATATTTAGACACTTTCTTATAAAATATATATTGTATTCTCATCCACTGTCACAAATACATTCATTTTTCAACCTTATGGTTATGCAGAAGTACAACAGTTTAGCTAATCATATAAATAATTTCACGTTCAAGTGTCTATCTTAAATTACACTTATATCCCCACGTATAATAGAAACACGGATTTAATAATGCCTGCTAATGAAAATGACATCATGTTACAACTTCTTTATCACCAAAATAACAAACTAATGAGAAATAAATTATCTTACTTTTCTGCAAACCAAATAAGCACATCAACATTTATAATGTTTCAAATCACCACATTCAAAAACTAACTGCTAATTTCTCTCTGCACTCCAACATAACTGTCATACTGAATTACAGCATATTACACATCTTTCAGGAGGCATTCAGTACTGAAAATAAATAGAGCAGAAACTGCTGTTTGTAGCTCTCCCTTCATCATCATTTTGCAGCATATTTCATGAGTTTTGTAAGCCCCTCCCTCTCCCTGATCAACAAAACAGGTGGTGCAAAATGAATATTCAGCAATGTCTTCTGCATTACTAACGAGACTGTACAGCTGCTTCTTTCCTTGCAGCATCCTGAAGAAGCTGTGTATCTACTTCATCAGCTGGTAACTGAACATAGCGTACAACAGAGCCACGGATAAAGCAGTTTTTCACTGATAACTGAAATGATAAGATACAAATTACTAGGAGATACACATGTATTCTTCATTGGAATTATATTCTGACTCAGGAGTACTTATGCCTCTTGTGATTAAAACTACATTTACTGGACTTTGTCACCTTCTACCTCACACTGGCCACATGACTGAGTTAAACTTCATGGTCTTGTAAGACCAAAACATGTCAGGGTCTCTGTAACACACAGTCTACTCAGACAATAAAAGAGATATACAGGGGTACTACAAATGATTCATTCCATTTCAGAACATTATATTTTCCAAAGTATTATACATACAAATATGATTGATACATGAAAAGAACTGCAAACTCACCAAGTTTGCATCGTGATACACCAGCTGGCACTTCCGACAACACTGGTAGAGCTCAGGGAACTCATTAATGCTGCTGTGATGACCATCGACAAGGGAGTGCTACAAAATGTTTGGATCAAACTCGACTACCATTTGGACGTGTGTCATGTGACATACATATAACATTTGTAATTTGGTGAGTATATGGTTCTTTTCATGTATCAATCATATTTGTATGTGTAATATTTTGGAAAATATAGTGTTTTGAAATGGAATGAATCATTTGTAGTAAACTTGTATTTGGATGGTAAAAGGTAAATGTAAACTTGTCCCTGTGCTTAACTAATTAAGCACTAGGCCATGAAGGAATATGGAGGAGTGGATGTATAGATCCACATTTTCTTGACCTTGGTACTAGCTGGAGGTGATTAGCCAGCTTCATGTCCCAAGCGCTTTAACCTTAGAGAAAGAGTTCCCGGTACCCATCGGACTGAAGGCTGGGTGGTCCCCAGAGCCAATCTGAAAGACGTGGAGAAGAGGAAATTCTTGTCCCTGCCAGGACTTGAGTTCCAACCCCTCAGTCATCCAGCCCATAGCCAGTCGCTATACCGAATACGCTATATGGTAACTTGCATTTTATTTCCATGCACTGAATTTGCATTTCAATATGTGTATCTGCTGTCAACATCAAAATTATTCAATGTTAGGAACTATCAACCACTCAGGGAATCTGGAATTTTGACACCATCTATTAAGGAAAAGATATGTCCTTTCTTTGTAGTGAGCACAGACAAGATCTCCACGTGCAATGAGTAATTTTATTAATTATTTTTATGACTACTGACAGTGCAATAAGATGGGAAAATAAACATTTGCAGCTGGCATTATAAATGTGCTTCTGTTTCACACATGATGCCAGTCTGCTGCCTATGTGCATGCATTCTTCACATAGTAAAAGTAAATTCATATTCTCTGTTGAGAAAATGGAAGAAAAAGGTCATACAGACAATGCACCATCCACTTCTTTTTTTATGATTATATCTTCTTTATAATTATTTTACTGTTGTCATTAAACATCAGTCATTGCAGTAACATAATAAAACATACAGAAACAAGAACATATGGGAACCTTCATCTAACCTTTCAATGAACACAGTGGAATAGGTTTTGAAAAATGTCTCCTTGATGGCAGACCTGTGTCCTTGGTATCTGATCTGAAGCAAAAGTTAACAAGGATGGTGCAATGAGCAAGTACACACAGTAGGTAGTAAATACTACAATAACTAATGTACCAGCCTTAGAAATTCACTTACCATGTGAGGATATTTATCTGGATCTGTGACACTAATGTCTGTCAATTTTATGTTCAAGTACTGGTCCACAGAATGCAATGTGCCACATATGCTGAAACAGAAACACATAAGCAACTCTCCAATCAAAATAACATAGCATAAATATATATATATACAAGGTCATTCAAATATGACTGGGACTGATTTGTGTGTAAACAAGCTGCACTGCCTAGCAGCTGTGCGACCCTCCTTCCTGTTCGGGTTAGAACTTGTTCAGTCCTGTCTGGGAATTATTAGTGACGAGCGAACAGAAGGTACTGGAGAGTGTGGAACAACGCATTGTGATCAAATTCTTCATTGGAGAAAACGTCCCGTCCGCTGACTCCAACAACAGTATGGGGAAGAATGTCTCTCATGGAACTGTGTGTTTGAATGGTGTAAGTGCTTCAGAGAGGGCAGAGAGCACATGGAGAATGAACCGCACGATCGTCAGCTGCGAACATCCATCACCGAGCCAAACATTGATCGTGCAGACGAGCTTATTCGTGACAACAGGCGCATCACTATCAAGGAACTTGGAGCGATGCTGTCCATCAGTGTTGGTAGTGTAGAAGACATTGTGAAATACCACCTGCACTATCTCAAGGTGAATGCACGGTGGGTACCACGCACTTTGATGGACATGAACAAAATGGTTTGCATGCAAGCTGCCAGTCATCTCCTACAGCAGTTTGAAGATGGTGATGCATTTTTGAAGTCTACAGTGACCACCGATGAAACGTGGGTGTACTACTTCATTATCGAGTCCCAGCAGTCATCTCGCGAGTGGCAGCATACCAGTTCTCCCAAACCCAAGAGAGCGCGGAGGAGCCGTTCAGCAGGAAAAGTGGTGGCAACGTTCTTCTGGGACTGGCAGGGGGTTATCCATGTAGACTTTCTGACAGATGCCAGAACAGTCAATGCAGCTTATTACTCAGACCTCCTGGCAACAGACGTGAAGGACAAGATCCAATCCAAGCAGAAGACAGGTGGAAAGCGGGTAGCCTTCCTTCAATACAATGCATGCCCCCATACAGCCAAAACAACAATAGAAACCCTCCAGAAATGGAAATGGAACCTTATGACACATCCGCTGTACAGTCCCGATTTGGCCCCAAGTGATTTCTACCTGTTTGGAAGGCTCAAATAAGACTTGCAAGGCACGCGGTTTGTGGACAACGATGCCGTCGTCCAGACTGTTCGGGAGTGGATGTGCCGCCAACCACAAGCCTTTTTTTAGAAGGGCATCAGGATGCTTCCAGAACACTGGAAAAAATGTGCTGACTCCGGAGGGGAGTATGTTGAAGTCTGACATGTGTAACTGTTTGGCAATTATGGTTTTTAAAAAAAAATCAGTCACAGTCATATTTGAACCACCTGATTTGAACTGATCAGCTAACTTGCAGATTGCGGTACTGAGTTCTCTTGACTTCTTTACTCCCTCCCATTCCTGCCTCGTAATGTAATCTGTCTTGACGACCTGACCAAAGGTTTGGTCATTTCATGATAACCATCCTGGGTAGAATAACTGGTATAAAGTATGGTCCTCATGAATTAATTACAGATAAAGAATTCCTTGAATTCTCTGACCTGCATTTTTGGGCACTCAAGAGACTTTCAATTGCAATTCTAAGAATCATATTGTGAAAATGGAAAAATGTGCAGTATTTCCCATGTACTAAAAGATTATTCGACAAACTTTGTTGTGATACAACAAAGACAATAATGAATATGACTAGGTAAGATGTAATTCTAGAGTTTCCTTACAGCAGATTCTACAGGCAGTGCATAATAAGACTGACAATGAATTGTAAAAAAGTAAAAAAAAGTAAAGCTATCCCTGTAACAGGCCATGAATGCCCATAGGGTTGTGAGATGTTGAGGGTCCCACATTAACTAGACAATTGGCTCAAAGATGGTGGTAAGGTTGTCAGCCTTATGCGCCAGCTGCGCTTTACTCCCCAGGGCCATAGTGCGGTTGGAAGGAATAGATTAATTGAAAAAAATCCAATGACCTCATTGGGGCTTGAACCCGCGATGTTCCAGCTTGTAGCATAGTGCCTCAACCAACTATGCTACAGAGTGCCCCCTTGACAATGAATTGTATAAACTCAAATTCCCAGTAATTATTCAGCACTGTACTGTACTTGAAAAAAAAAAACTGTGTTCACTCTTACTTATCTTTTGCCACAAACTATTTAAAAGGTATAATATTTCTGGAAATATGAAATTTCAGTAATATTTACTTAATATAGTTTATATTTGGTATATCCTTACCACACACTGATCAGCTGAGTTAGGTACATGAAAGCGGCCTCCATAGTCTAAGAGGTAACGCTCCCACCTCATGACTCGTGGTATGCGGGTTCAAATACCCGGCGAAGGTCGTCGAATTTTTAAGGGCGGAAAAATTCAGGGAACAAGTCCTCTGGGAGGGACTTTAAGCTGTGCGTCCCGTGTCATAACTTTACGGCACGTAAAAGAACCTCATATCCCCAAAGGGGATCACTGAGCTGAATTCTAGGACGCTTCCCGCCCAACAATAGTCTCTAAGGCCTCTTAGATGGGGGAAACATTACAGATACCGCTAAGCAAGTGGCCGAACTCGCTTGCTCGGCGGGACTGATGGTACGCACCATTTATCGGTAGGGTATAGAGACTGGTAGAATATCATAGAGGGAAGCACAATAGATCAAACTGGTCACGGTGCATGGGGAAACCCACCCTCACTAAATAACTAACTAGGTACATGAAAATGAGCTGAGTTTGTGACCATCAGTAATAAGTTACAGTGAATTAGGCAAACTGCAATGGCTGATACAGCTTCATAATCATAAATAAAATGTGAATTCTGAGACAGGTATACATGGTCATTGTGCTATAAAGTTATATAATTTTTAACAATTTATTTTATTCTTCAACAAAATGATCTATGGATACAAGAGTGAAGGATCAAATTGAAGACCACAAAAATTCAAGTAAAAGTTGTTTGAAGATTACTGCCTTCTGAAATGTGATGGCATGTAATCTTGTAGATGTTTATCAACATTTCAGAGGATCCTGCTGTCCTCCTGTTCATGGTACCATATTTCATATGGTTCATATTTACCACAAACACAACATTCCAGAAGATAATCTTCAAGGTCACTGCTTGAAAACCTCATGTTCACTTTCTACTGATACTTCTCAGGAAATATACAGAATTAAACAGCGACATAAAATATATTTAATTCAAAACGTTAATATTTCTAGAATGCAAGGAAGGGAGCTGTATCAGTGCAACAGGTCACTATACACAGGATTACAAGGATTTAGTTACAGATACAGAAAGAAATCATTTTTCTATTCCACCTCCCCAAAATACTAATTTCAACAAACGAAATATTTACAGAATAATGTTGGTTTCCCATAAAAAGCAATATGGAGTAGTTCCAAATGTACTCGTATGAAGTATATATTTAAAGGTATCTTTTTAGACTGTAAAACATGCAAATGTCACCAGTCCAATCATTTCAATGTTTTTTAAATACTGTTAATTTTCATTTATCCTTACAAACCCCAAGAATAACCTCACGTTTGAGAAATAAATACCAAGATAACAATAGTTTATAAAACTTCAATAAAAAATAAAATACCATTCTAGGTCACAAATGATATATTTGGTTTTTGGACTTCATCCATCGTCCTGATTTTTAAGATAATAAAAACACGACGTTTCGGAAACTGGATCTGTTTCCGTCCTCAGGTGAAGGAAAACACCTATTCTGTTGGGTCCGTTAGAAAGAGCTAGCCTCATGGAAACAGAGCCAGTTTCCGAAACGTCGTGTTTTTATTAGTTATCTTAAAAACCAGGACGATGGATGAAGTCCAAAAGCCCAATATATCAGTGTGTTATACACCATCGTCAGAATCCTATAGTAACTAGGTCACAAATGTATTTTAATATATAAATGATTGAGCGTTGATGCCAACTATGGCAGAAAAAGTCGAAGTTCCAGTTCAAAATTTCCTCGTTCTTGTCATCTCGGCAAGTTTACTGAACTATCGAAAGGTAGCGATAAACTGTGAAGCCCCAATGACTGGGACGTACAAGTAAATAAAGAGTCTGAAGACCAAGAATATATAAAATTGCAATCCAATTTTACAAATAACGCAAAATAACAAGTAAATCATTAACATCTGAAAACTATATACAGCAAAATGTGAAGATACTAAATTATTGTTTTACATGGCATATTAACCATACAACGATGTTACCCGAAACCTAACCTAACCTACCTTAGATCATTTTTCAGCTCCACTACCACATCTTTTCCTACGAGCGACTTGAAGAATGAATAGAATAACTGAAAAAAAAATCATACAAATAAATTACACACATTATCACATAAATTAATAAAAGTACAGCACAGGAAAATAACGAACTAACCATTATAACCTCATTCACAAGCTAAGATACTCTCACAATTCAAACCTCTCAATCTTCTACTCCCTCAAGCAGCTTTTACTGCGACTGCGGTAACTAGAGTACTGCCAACATAACAAGCCTGTCGGTTGATCTATAGCATCTATAGTGTACATTTCAGAGGATGTTCGCTTACTAAAATTATCTCTCGATAATTTTACACAACAGAACTGATTACACCGGTTGTAAATATTAATTGATTTAAAGCTATCATAATTACCTGGAGTTAATATGAAACATGCCGCCTTATATGTAATTGGCGCTAGAGGTAAAACATTCTTACTACAGTTCGTGACTTAGTGATGCAGACGTCGTCTCGTTTGTTGTGTACAGAGTGGTTCAGGAAGAAAAGACAGCTGTATATAATAGGAGGACAGATTAAGTGAAGCGTAAGGAATGACGGAGAAAGATTTGCCTTCTTTAATTGCAGAGCAACGGCATTTAATTGTAGAAAAATCTATTATATTAGACCTCCTCAGAAAAGTGAGGGATGAGATGCACAAATTACAGGTAATATATAATTAAAATGGTTGGAGGAACAGTGAATTTATTGGTTCTTGTAACACATCAAATTTCGTGGATAAGAGTTTTATATGCACTAAAACCAGCGAATCGATTTTAATAAAATAATAAATATATCACGAAATATAGCCATACATTATATAATGCGAGATTTGTGCGTCGACGTTACTTACGCAGTTAAACAGGATCCGATGACCCGTCCTGTGCTCTAGCATTTAACTCAAAACCAATTAGATGATCAATGCAAATGTGTCACATAACCCTGCCCTGCAGAACAATAGTTTTTACATTTGTGACACTGTCACAATGATTAATCAGTTGTCCAACTATTATTCTGGATGCCATTTCGTTCCTTGGAGCATTCATTTTTAAACCATATTGTGGAACCTTTTAATATTTAAATCAGTCACCCAGGATACACATTAACAGACATCTCAGCTATTTATTACTGATGCTCTTCCCTGTTCTAGTAAATGCAGCTTTCTTCTTCCAGAATTCTTTCCCAGTCATAAGAGAAATATTGTCATGTACAGGTTATGTGGTTTCTGTACATTTTTCTCATGCAACCAGCATACCTCACATGCCAGATAATTTGGAGTGTAGTGTATTATAAAATTTATTCTGCAATACAGAAGTACCTATTTCTGTTACATAAACATTGTTCAAAGTTTCAAGAGAACTGTGATAATGTCATGACTGGTACTCAGAGAATCCTAATCTGACATTTGTTTAAAAGCTAAGTAAATTTAGGTTCTTTATAATGTAGGTTATGGTACAAATTTGGCCTTCCAGAGAACGGGTTTCACGTGGATATCTGTAGCATATTCATCTTCCTCATATTATAAATATTTCATCTTTCATTTCAGATTGAACAGTTGCAGCTGGACAGCATGATAATGACAGAAAATGGGTTACTCAGAGAAAATGGAAGCAGAAAAAGAGACATCAATGGTAGTGCCCCGGCAGAAAGCACAGACATGGATTCAGAGAATATTAATGAAGAGAAGTTGGATCTGACTGTTTCTTCTGCTTTGAACAGTAAGGAAATATCATTACTTCATGTTCTTCTACAGTTGGATGTTGTCAGTCATGATTACATTCATTATAGAACAAAAATAAGGGGACATATTATTTTCCTTCAAGATATTCTGTATCTCAAAACAGTTCCATGATGAATGCGAATGCAGTGATGTGGCAGGTAGGGTTGACCACAGATGCTGTAAATATATGTCAGTGTGTATATGCCCTCTACAGATGGAAATTGTTCAGTTTCCATTAGACTGGGAAGCCTACAGTAGATCACAAACAAGAGCAGAACTGAGAGAAAGACTGAAGTGGGGAAGTGAATTACTATGAGTGGCAAGCTTAACAATATTTTTAAGAAATGATGTCCCTGTATAGGGTGATTTAAGTGGCATCACAGCTTCAGTGATAGTGTGGATCAGAAAACAGTCCACATGGTTCATGGCTTGCAACATCTCAGAACAGATGAGAAACAAATGCAGGAAGTTGTGCTATCATCAAATGTTACACACAGTTGCAGGTAAAGACAAAATTTCAGTTATTTCTTTTGGCTTATTTTGGACTTCACCCATCGTCTGGTATGTAAAAGACAAAAAGACCACGATGTTTCAGAGACTGGCTCTGTCTCCGTCTTCAGGTGGATAGAGAAGGATAAACCTACTCAGTTGGGCCCACTAGAAAGAGCTAGTCCAGTGATTGAGACTAGCTGTTTCTAGCGGGCCCAACTGAGTAGGTTTATCCTTCCCTATCCACCTGAAGACGGAGACAGATCCAGTCTCCGAAACGTCGTGGTCTTTTGTCTTTTACATAACAGACAATGGGTGAAGTCCAAAATAAGCCAAAAGAAGTACAGTGTACACCATCGTCAGAATCCTTTCAAGTCTAACCAAAATTTCAGTTGCTAGTTGCAACAGTATCCTCACTAAGGATGTAAAGGGAAGTGGGAGGGAGTGCTGTATCACTGTTGCTTAAGTGACTGGTCATTTTACCTGCTTTCAAAGTTCATAAAAAAATTTAATATTGATTCTTGCTCCTAATAATTTACTGCCCATACTGCTATGCCAATAAAAGGAAACCACAATGTAGAGTCCCCGCAAATGTTTGACACAGATAGGATAAATTGTGCATTAATTCAACAGTATTACAAACTTTAGCACAAAAACAGAAATCCAGTTATTCATCAGACATATTATATACTGCCTTGAAGTCCCTTATATGTTATGCTGTATGACCCTTCTTTAAAATGTTCAAAATATTCATCAAATGAAGATGAATCTCACAGTGTTGACAGACCATTTACAAGACTCCAAAACTTTGTGTATAACGTGTGTTGATCCTTATATCATTTTGATACATCTGAATCAAATTCTGTTACAGAAATGTTACATGGTCAATTCTTTGCTGAACAAGAGGAGGAGGAGGAGGAGGAGGAAGAGGAAGAGGAAGAAGATGAGAATTATACCCAGAATGTTGTTGATGAAGATGAATTTATTTTACCATTGTAATTCTCAACATGGCAGAGAAAATCATGCAAGGATGAAGAAATACACAGATGTCAACTCGAAATGCCTCTGTAGGTGAATTTCAAGTGTTATATGCTGATGGGGCATAGGATCCAGTATAGGCAAGCTCGATATACAACAAAGCATGATGTACAGTTGCAAACTTCACCTGCACATGAACCGCATTTAACAATGTTCTGACAACCTGATCACAGTGATGTACTAACTATTAACAGCGTGTGGAGAAGTTCTGGTCCTGGATACAAGAAATTGCATGTGAAAGAAGAGGCACTACCAAAAATTTGTTATGTAAACTTACGTTTCTGTTCCTTTAATATATTGAAAGTCATGAATAACCCCTTATCCAACCATCCTTCAGTATGATCTCAAATATTGGTGTTAATAAATAAAGACAATGGTACTTGATAATCTGTAGATACTTGAGTTATGCATATGAATACTGCCAAACAGAATTAAGAGGACAGTAGACAAATTTTTACTTGTGGAAGTGATGTATGAGTTACTTGTAAAAAGCAAATAGATTCAGTTATATTGAAAAGACTAAGGAACACACTGCTTTCCTGGTGTATTTTGACATTTTCTTTTAATGAAATATACAAAACAAACATTAAACCTATTGATCCTAAACTTTCCCGTAAAACTGCTATCCCTCTTATGCATCATCATCTGTCCAATATGAAGAAAAGTACTCCTACACATCAGTATGCGGTTAATTTTTTTGGTCGGATGGGAACTGATCTCTGTTTGCAGAACAGCCCATCTGTAAATAGACAACTGGGAGGATTTTTTTATCCTCAGTCTTAAGCAAGAATTCTTTTGACATTCCAGCAAATATGTAATGAAGTTGCTACTTCTGACTTAAACTGGCAATGCAGAAAAAACACTACGTGGCCTGTAGTCTGCAAGTAAACTATACCAACCAGAATCCGGCAACCACCGCTTATTGGCGTAGTGTCAACTTTTGCAGATAGAGGGTATCGCATGGTCAGAGCAACATCCCCTCAGCCATTAATCTCGGTTTTCTAGACCGGAGCCGAGATTTCCCTGAAATTGCGCCTCAATTATCCTCATGAGGCTGAGTGGACCCTGTTCCAGGCCCCACTACTTCTCAGAAAATCTGGTAGTGCTGGGAATCGAACCCAGGACGTCTGTATCTAGCCAGGAACTCTGATCACTAGACCATAAAGGTGGTCCTGGCACTGCAGAACCTGAACATAAAATCATAAGCATTCAAAGTGACACTGTTTTCATTGTGTGAAAAAGATAACTTCTGAAATCTTGTTGGCAAAAATAAATGCTCTCTGAATAGAAGTACATCATGAAGAGCAAATTTTCTTTTGATCCATTTTTCATTATGAACTATATAGAGTCAAAATATAAACACTTAAGGACACACATCAAAAGATAGCTGAAAGTTCTTTGTACAGTCTAATTTCAGTTTCACAGCAGAAGAAATCCAATGCCAGGTAACTCAGTATGGTGTAGGCTAAGTAATTTTTACATGTAGTCAGGGCATTTTATGAAATAATTAGGGACCAGATTTTTATGCCTTATGTCTGCAATTATGCATGAAAACTTATACCAAATATTAAAATTGATTTTACATTATTTTACGACCAACATCTCAATATTTAAGTTCATTTTATGTAATCACTGAATGATTCACTTGCAATAAAAAGCTATACTTAAATACAAATTTAAGAAACCAATGTTACTCACATTTAGCTCTCCAAACTTTCAACTTCTCTTCTGTTGCAGTTCACAATTACTAAATGTCTTAAGTTTTCCATAGTTAGTCGCCTCCTATTTGTCTCGTAAGATGTTTTTATAGCGGGAAACACTTCTTTCCTTTTCACAGGAACTTAGGGGCACATGTACAAAAGCCGCTATTTGCTCCACTGTTAGTGATTTTTTACTTTGCAGTTCAGTATGTTTACCAGCTAAAATTTCTACAATTTCACAAATTTGTTCATATCCTGGATTTTTTTAAAGAATGCTGTGTACTTTTTCCTTTACTACTTCACCAACTCTTCCAGGAACCGAATTCAATTTGGAAACAGTGGTTTTGAACACACTTAACGACTGATAAAAAGTAGTATTGCTATTGCTTGCCTCCAGTGAGGAAATGGCAGATGGAAGATGAGAGAAGTGAGCAGATATATAGGAAAGATTAGTTTCTAGTTCTGCGTATTTTAGTACATTC